CGACAGGAAGAGTCCTGCTGCACCATCTGTGGAAAATCTGCTACTTAACTTAGACTGCCTTTCGGTATTACCTCCTCATTTTCAGTCCTTTCTCATTCTTGGGCTTGAAAGAACTTGACTCAAACATCCACAGAAGGCATGTTGCAACCATACTCTCAAATGCCCTGAGATAAAAACTAAGGAAAGCAGGTGAACTTTACCTGGAAGACTTCATAGCTCCCCACTCCTTCAGCAAAGATTCTCTTTGTAAGATCTTCAACTGACTCATAATCTGGACCTACAACAAAAAGTTCATTTTCATAGCTATCATTTTAACACGTGAATTTCAACGCATCTACTAGAAAATCAAAGGAATGACTACAAGATGTGCCATGCTTAATCTAGCAGTGAGGATCCCTTTGCTTCCACACTTCACAGCTGGTACCACTCTGCTGGCTGCAGTAAGCTAGCACAGATCTAACAGCAAGTGTTAAAATCACACCCTCATTGTTTTCTATCAAGATAATTTGTAGTTTTCTCATCAGTTGTGGATTGACTGTATAAATATTGAAACCATAGTGTCTATGGTTTGCCAGCATAAGGTATCAAAACGCTTTTAATATAGAAGAGTGAATAACAGATTATACTGCATAGCCATTCAATGGAAAATTCCAGCTGAATTATCGTCATACACCTCCAACTACATTAAAAAGCTTCTGTGAGAAGCTTCCCACATCTCTGATGGAGACAATGCCAGCCAGCTCCAGGACAGATTCATGGCTGAGCTGATCAGCCACAGTGGCAGCACCTCTGGGATAGCACAGTCAAGGGGGGAAATACCCTGTGCAATAGCAGCTGAGAGAGAGGAGAGAGTATGAGAAAGCAGCAGCTCTGCAGACACCGAGGTCAGTGATGAGGGAGGAGCAGCAGCTGCTCCAGAAGATGCTCCAGGAGCTGCTCCAAGTGCCAGAGCTGCTCCAGGAGGTGCTGCAGGTGTCAGAGCTGAGATCCCCTGCAGCCCCTGGTGCAGCCCATGGTGAGGCAGCTGTGCCTCTGCAGCCCAGGGCAGTCCATGGGGGCAGAGATCCACCCACAGCCCATGGAGGAATTCCTCCACGCTGGAGCTGGGGAAGAGTCAGGAGCCCTCCCCCAGAGAAGCATAGAGCAGCAGAACCCAGTCAGGGTCACCTCACCCCTTACAGATCGTTTTTCCCCCCTAAGTTACAGATAAAACCTACCTTCCTTCCTTTTCCCCCATCTCCCTGGAAGCCAAGAGGTGCTTTCTGCAGCAGCCTCTCCCCAGAGCAGAGGGAGGGGATGAAGGCAGGGCACAGCTGTGCCAGGGGCTCACACAGGGCCACAAGGTGCAGGAGGGGCTGCAGCCAAGCCCAGGGGAGCAGGGCAGAAGAGCAGGGGCTGTCCAGGTTTGTAAAAGGGGCAGGCCCCAGCAGCTCTCTGCAGCACAGTCTCACCCTCAGCAGATCCCACCACAGCTCTCACAGGAGGTCAGGCAGCCCTCTTCCCTCCCAACAGGATCCCCAAGAGCTCTCTGGTAATACTTGGCTGAGCAGCACAAAAATACTTGGTGAGATCACAATTATTATTACCTTTTTAAACATCTAATGTGAAAGGTTCAAACCATAACACCCATCAGTTATTACTGTACCTTTTTCTTGCTTGTTTCTTCTTAATATGTTGATTTCTTAACCTATGAAAAAAGGTAATATACCTACTTTTCTGGCAGTAACTTGAAGATCTAGAGCCCAAGAAAAACTTTAACAAAAAGGAATTATTAGCTAAGGTTTTTCAAAGATCCAAAATATCACTGGAATTTCAAAGGACATCAACATTTAACATTTGCACTAATCAACTCATTATTGCATTCAAGGAAACACATTTTGCTTTCTCTGTATTTGAGAAAATGAAATGTTCATTCAATGGAGAAAAACTCCTAAAATAATACTGGATCATATCAATCTTTATGCCTGATAAGCATGAAAATGCTCATCAGATCAACCCATCAAACAAGAACCTGCATCACCCAAGGAATTTAGATATTGTTAAATTTTATTTTATAGTATAGTGTTGGGCACTTTATGGTCACGTGGAATTTACCAAAAACTTCTACTGATGCCACAAACTTTGGAAGGAAAAAGAAAAACAAACTACACCACATATCACAGCTCACTTAATACATCTAGACAGTGCACTACTAACAGTAGTCTAAGGTCAGAATTACAGTTCTCAAGATGACTTTGAACAGTAGTCCAGAAGGTGCAAAAGCATGGAGTAAATTTGGCTCTAGTTTTGTTAAAAGTCAGTAACTAAATTTTCAAAACTGTAAGGACAATGCTGGTTGTTTGGTGTGTGAGATTTTTTAATCTCAAAATTATCAATAAAATCTCAATGTACCCTGTACTTTATGCCTCTCTTTTAAGTATTAAAGACTCACAATAAGGGACATTACTGGGAATGGTTTTCAAGGGTCATCAAAAAAATGTTATCAAAAAAAAAAAAAAAAGAAGCATCAAGATTACATGGTGTTGCTTTGTTCCATGTTGAGGCATTTCTCATCATATTTAAAATTAACAAACATAAACTAACAGTATTCCAAATATATAAGCATTTTAAATTGCTCTTCCTCCTCAAAAATTATGAAGTAACAGATGTGATGTGCATGTGTGCAAGCTGCACCAAGATTAGCTCTTCCACAGTGCTTTATTGCCTCATTCAAGTATATTAATTTAAAGAAGGTCTCAAGGAAAAACCAAAGGTTAAAAGAAAATGTACATCAATATACAAAGAAATTAATTTACAAAAACTTAAAGGATACTGGCAACATTAGTAGATGTTTTAAGTAATGACTTATGATAATTATGGATGTCACAAACTAAATTCTTGGGGTCATTGCTGGTCCTGAAAAGCAGTGCTTAACACCTCAGCTTTTTTATGATTAACAAGTGATCAAAGCATAAACTAAATATCATAAATTCTAATAGTTATCCTTACTTCAGTTTAACCAGGTTTTAATTTTAAGAGTCACCTGGAACTACTGGTATATGAATATTGGCTTAGGCCTTATTATTTCTACAGACTGTGACATCCATAATCATTCCTGGTCACTAAAAATATACATTTGCCTCATTAGAATAGATTTCTTCATGTTTTTATCATACAACTGTATTTCAAAGTTACATGTAATTTTACACATTTCTAAAAAATACAATTTCATGGGTCTGCTTGAAAGCAGATGTGCACTACTAAATTACTTTGAAACAAGGAGTAATATTGCACAAAATTCACTGAAGATTTGAAAGTCAACACATTTCCCCCTTCCAACCAAGTTGCTCCCTTATTTTTAACAGAAAGAACATTAATTCACACAGAATCACAATAAATGTCAACATACTTGAACTCAACTTATTTTCCAAATGCTAATACTGTTACTGGATTCTAAATACAGGTGTTGTTAGTACTGAGCTAAGTAATAGTACATTGTAATTGAGTACCCTCTACTACAATACACCTTGGAGTAACTTCCAACTGTGTTACCTGCTTCATACCCCAACCCAGCAGAGGATGGCAATGGCCCTGCCAGCTACATGGGTTGTGGATGACCCTCTAGACTGAGGTGGCTGTGGACTCACCAGGAAACTCTACAAGAATAAATGACACAGCTTTCAGCAAGACCTGTCAAGTACTTTGAACTGGCCACTGACTGAACTGTGGAACAGATACGGCAAAATGGATCAAGGGAGGTTTTGTACAAACAAACCATATCATCCCTTTCCATTCCTTGAGTTTCAACACCCTGAGGACCATGAATTGAAAGCCAGCTGTGGTCCATGCTCCTGGGGTGAAGATGAGGACATGTTCCTCAGCTCAGATTCTGCTAACAAGCAAACAACAGAGACAGACATGCCTAATAGCAGCAAAGAAGTTACTGAAGACAAGTCACATCACTATTCATACTGGTTTTGCTGGTGCAGTTATTTCTACATTCATTCTTCAAAGATTTACTGCAATACCATGGGAACAGAAAGTCTTCACCATCCTGAGCTTTGCAATACAGAAGCTGTTTACTAGCCACATTTGTTTAGCCTGAAATTTCAGGCTGTTGGGAATAATTCACTGGCTAGAGTCTCACAGCACCTGGGCTAGAGGCTGGTGCCAATGGAGGAGATGCTAACTCCTTGGAAATAAAGCTCCTCTTGAGCTCTCCCTGAGGAGTCAGGGAGGTCCATGGTTAAGGGTTCTTCCTGCAGGACAGGGTACAGTCAGGATCACACAGGGGGCATTTGCAAAAGGGCCTCATGCTGGCACTTGATTATTGCATGAAATGTTTCTTTGATTACTTACATGCATAGAGAAAGTATTTTAGATGCTCCTAGCAATTCTATTAGACAGCTGCACCAACAAAACATTGTTCTGTAGAACTGAGTATCATTGACTGCAGGTGGATAAGGAGAAGCAGTTTTAAACACCTGGGGTAACTGTTCTTTTGCCTAGACTTTACATTGGTTACAAGAACACGAGGTTGTAAACTAGCTCATCCTAAAACCTGAGAAGACATCTAAAACAGAATTTTAAGGTCTAAAACACTCTTCTAATAGATTGGGTGGGATTTTCAGAAGCACCCAGCACTTGTCTAAAACTCTGCCTGAAGTCTGTGTTGCAATGCCTGAGAGGGGACTTCAGCCAGTGCTGAGAGTTCCTGATGATCCCACCCCAACAGCAGCAGCACCACTGAAATGCTAAATGACAAGGAAGGGTTCAGTCAACAACTTCTATTACAACTTCTACAACTACATTTCTTTCTTCAGAACAAGTCTATTTTTCAGAACTACATGATGCCCAAAAATGTGAGATGGAAGAGCAAACCACTGCCTATTCTACACAGACTGCCCTCTGCATGCATAGAGGGTGGGTAGGGATCACCTCTGCATCCACAGCCCTTCCCTGGTATCTGCAGTTTTCCTCGTTCCTTTTCTACACAAGTCAATGGGAAGGCTCTGACATATTATCCATTCTGCAAATCCCACAGGGAGTTAGCTCCACAGGCAGCATTACTTTTACCTACAAGATTGAGCTGGAACCACTGTAACCGAGTTAGAACTGGAATCTGGAATTCTTCCAAGTTACTATCTCTCCTGTGGACTTCCAGGCTGTGCTTCACCACACTGCACTGGCACAGCCCAGGAATCCCTTTGTCTTTCCACTGCCCTTACTCTTTCCTCCCAAACCAGATGAGTGATACGGCTCATTTTAGGCAAACATCTATGCAAAATGAACTCAAAAATATTAATCTCGAGTCCTGGTTTGACTTTCAACATCAGAAATTTGTTCCTATGTGTAAGTAACAGACCACAAAGCTTCATCAAATAACCTGGTATCTCCCATAAACAGGAGAAACAGGAGGATTTTTGAGATCCTGAAGAAAAGACATGCCTCTGAAGAAGACCACAGGAGCTCTGACTGAGCAGAATTCAGTTCTCACCAGAAGCTGGTGATCAATGTTGATGATTTTCAAAGACACTAGAAGGATTTCCACAACTAAAAAGCATACAAGTATAAAACTTGCAAAGTACTGGACCTGGAAAATTTATCTTAATATAGAACCCACTGTGGTACTAAAAATACTGCATATGTAGCCAATAAACAATTTTATATCATCACAAGGACAGAGAACAAGAGTGTTGAACCAGTTTGGACTCTTACCTATTTGGTAACTGGCAATTCTATTCAAATAAGGCACAAATATTAGCCTTTTTAAAAGATCACTGATAGTAAGTGGAAAAGATCCTGTATATTACAGAGTAAAAAATGTACCTACAGTTAAAATCAACATATATATAAGACAAAGCTATTTCTGAACCCATACAAGGTTCAAAACCAAAAAAAGACATATTATTTAATGATTGTAAACAAACTATGAGCTTTGTAAATAGTAAGGAAACAATGCAGCATAAGCACAGAAACATTTTGACTGAAATTAAAATAATTCTAAATTGAATGTTACCATCTTCTATTTAATCTGCTTACTTCTTTTCTGCCTGCATTTTCACTCCATGAAGCAGTGAATTATTACTACAATGCCTCAATTTTGAAAGATTCCACTATCAAACTTTCAATTTTATGATCCTTATAAAAACTTAAGAATATTGGCAGTCTCACATGGCTTCCATATTTATTCCACAAAGGTGAAAATGGAACAACCTATGTGATCGTTTGTTCAGTATCTAACTCTCTTGTAAAGCCAGTAAGATTTATGCCTGTATTAGACAGTAATTTTTGAAAACCATTTTCTGGCAGCATTCCTGGACTTAGGTGTTTGATGGTTTTGAAAGTAATAATGGCCATAATTTCTGGGTTTTTTCTATTTTCCTTAAAACATTAATACTGTTTACTAACTTTAATAAATGAAGGAAACAAAGTAACTTAGATTGAACCATGGATAGAAACATCAGGTGAGGTACAGAGGAAAGGAAAATTTGAACTTTGAAATTCTCACCACAAAATGCAAGGAGATTAATACGGAAGAGTGAGAAGTACTACAAGAACAAAAATCTGTGTATTACCTACTGCAGCACTATGCTTAGGCAATGTTTACTACCCACAAGGGAGAAGAATGCCCTCAAGTGACTAATGCCAGCTTTAAACAATGAACCATCAGGTTGCTCTGGAACTTTTTCATCTGAGCAGCACATGAGCCACTTGGCTTGACCCACTTGGAACACTGAGAGTGAAGATTTTAATTATTTTTATGATACTTTTGATTTCTAATAGTGCAAAATATTTTGCCAAGTAACATTTTTTGGTATTGCAAAACTCCACAACATATCATGTTGATACACAAGTGGAAACCAAAGGATAAACAAATAGTTTGGAGTACAGAGTTCTGGATGTGCAACTTCTAACTCTGGAACACTAAGATTTCTCCAGCAATGCAGATGCCCTGCAGAATGTTCATGCTTGATCAGACACAGATATTTCTGCAAGATTTGAACTTTTACTATGTTTTACCTTTGTTGCACTGATTAAAAAAAGTTAATTCTGGAGGCTCATCCTCCATGGCAAAGTACTGGCCCAGCCCTTGTCATTTTGGAGCAAGATGAAATTTTGCACTAAGCCCAGGTCTCACTCTACTGAGCCTCTCTGGTGAGGTTCCAAACGGTGCCTCTGCCATGACATGGAGCAATTCCCTTAGGTCAGCAACCTTGTAAGAAAGTAGTCAAAAAACCCTTTCCATTTGTGTCAGCTAGAAGGAAATAATTAATAAATCTCAGTGAGGCAACTGATATGAAACTCTGCTACAAGCTACTATTAAGGTACTAAAGCACAATCTGATCCAAATACCAACCCCAGAAATGTGCTCACTCAGGCCTAGGCTGAGATTACCAGAAATCATTCATGACAAAAAGGGAAAGGAAAAAGGTTTCATGACTTAGAAGAGCAGAACATTCTTCTCAGGCAGAGTTCCTTTTATACCCATGTGCTATTTCTACCAACTTTACCACAAATATCCCTAAAAGTTGACAATTCCAATCTGCTGAAACTGATTAACTGTCTCTTCTGTCCTAAGCTGTTGGGGAGACAAGGTATGTATGGTGAGATGGAAAATAAAAGACAAAAAAAATTTTAAAAATTAAAGAGCTGCTCCATACAGTATCAAAAATGTTCAGACTATAAATATCCAAATATTTGTCAGGAACACTGCCAGAAGGAGGACAAATTCTTGTTCTAAATACGTTATACACCAGGACCATTTAGTCTTCTTCACTAAATTTAGAAAGAAGTTTTTGGTTGTCCAACTTGGCTAAAATGAGAGTTGGATATATGCAGTCTCAAATTGAATCTATAAATTTAGCTTTCTAGTGTTACAAATCAGGCACAAATTAGATTTCCAACTATTAAATTGCAGAAAATAAAAAAATAATATATATCTATCAATTCCACTTACACTTTCCTTTCTGAGAATTTTTAGGTGAATTAGTCTACCTAGGGAAACTGATAATGTGTCTTTAAAGTGTCTTAGTTGTAAACAGAATAATAAATGTCACATTATAATTCAGCACTTCATGTACTTTATAGAAGAGAGAAAACCACGTGCTACCTTTTTGAAGTCTGGAAGACAGAACCACAGTTTTAGTCTGGAGTAAGTTCCAAGTTATAGTCACAAGAAATTCCTTAATCTATAAAAAGTCTCCTTTCCTCCCCCGACCTTTGCTGAAGCAAATTCCTGCCATGGAAAATCATTATTGCTGTTTTGTAGATTTGCATTCATCTTCTAAGACAGTTAAACCCCTTCTCAAAAGATTAAGGCAATTAATATTCATTACAAATATTAACATTTGTACATTTCAGACCAATCAGATTGCTTGGTTCATTTCATGCTAATGGGATTAACATAGTACCTTCAAAACCTGGCTACCTTTAGGTGACACCCTTGCTGCTTAGAGGAAGCAAATGCTAGGAAGCACCATACACTTGCTGTATTTTAAACATAGAGACTAACTAGTACCTGATTTGAGAGTGCATTCATACATTTAGTTACATTTTGTGGACCTAACTACAGCCAACAAATGAACTGAGTAAACATAAAAGCAGATGTCCAATGGCAGAAAATGCACACTCAACTGAAGAGAATTATTTTTACAACTGAAGATCTCTTATTCCTTTAAATTTTTTGGTTATCATCTTATATGGAGTTACATGGAGTCCTGAGTAGTCTCCCTTTAACATCTGATGGGAGTCAAGTTTTTCTTTTCCTACTTTTCTTACGTTTTATTTCCACTCCTACTGCTGGATAAGCTATCCTTTGAAATATTTAAACCATAGTGAAAAGCAGAATTCAGTTTACATAATGACACCACTTCTTGAAGAAGTCCACCTTCTTCTGGAGTTTCATCTCCTTCCTTCCCACCTTTCTCCCAAGGGACCAGAATGGATGGCTGTTGAGCAAGACCTGCTGGGAGCTGATCTTCTGAGGTATTGCTTAGTGTTTCATTAGGCTTTGCATCCTGACAGGAAGAAAAGCCTGCTTTGAAACTTTCTAGGGAATTAAACTGGGCACTTGGTCGTACTGGAGACAGGGATGTCAAACTAGTGGTGTCCATCTTGTCAGTAGTAAAGGTTTGGCCACTCCTTTCTTCTTCCATCCTTGAGAGAGATTCTCTCTGGCCACCAGAAGAAACTTGCTTCCTTGGTGATGGGGGAAGCTGCTTCCCATGGAGGACACTGTCATCCTGGCCAAGGTTCCACTCTGCCTGGTCATTAGCACTGCTGCAGAGCAGGGTAAGGTTGCTCTCACTAGGTGCATTTGACTTGTTCTGAAAGAAAAAACATGTGTTCATAGTTAATGTCACAAGAAACATCTCTACACTGGTATTTTTGAAACTCAAGTACTGGAAGGGATTTCATAGCTTCCTAAATCATGGATTCCCTTTGGGGCTCAGTGCTACAAAACAACTATCCCAGACACAATGCAAGGCCAAGTGTTTTTACATTTCCTCAAAGGACGCTGTCTCTTAGCCTAAGGACTGCCTCTGGTACCACAAAGAGGAAGGATTTCTGTCTCCTCTGTCCATTCAGTCTTGGCACAAGCAGTTTTGACAGTGAACAAAGACACACTTTTCTCGTTTGTACCCATAATATGAGAGGGAGGGGGACTAAAACTAAAACCAGATGGCATTTCCTCTTGGCTTCAGTAATTAATTATACCAATTTTCAATATTAAAGTTTTTTGGTCAAACAAAACCGGGCATTTTATTAATCTAACCCCTGCGTGACACTCATAATATAAAATTTTACAAGCTTTATAAATATTTGCATCAGTATTCGCTGCTCCAGTAACAAATCTTCTACTATAGGATCCCTTTCAGCAAAAGTAAGTGTTGGACAGCTGACATGTGCTGGAATTCAAAAACACTAAGCTTTTTTGGCTAATACCACAGCAGTGACTTGGTGAAAGTTTTAAAACTGTAGGCAAGCAGTGTGTTTACACTAAAGGACCAGTGCAACTCTACCTAAAATAGGAACAAGGAGCCCTCTTAGAAAAGTCTGGAGTACTATTCTAGCAGTGTTTCAGGTGCAATTACCATCTGGATTCCATGACTTAAATCAAGAAGGAAATATCATCGTATCACTATGACTAGTCTAAGTCTACAAGGTGAAAAATGCCTTTTAAACCACATTAAAAAAATCCCAAATCAGCTCAAGGCATATCAGATTTAACAGGAAAAAAATATATAGTATTAAACTATTTGATTAAGTAAATTATTATACTGTTCACAGCTCTCTATGAGGTTACTGCTTTAAGGGAAAAATACTGTTCCAAGATGACTTAGTAACCTGGAGAATTTCTTGGCTGGTAAAAAACCATCATGCAGTGGCCAGCACGAGTGTACGGTTATATAGCCCTAGGAAGACACATCAGCAATTCTAAGAACTGTGTTGCAGTGTCTGAGCTGCATGTTGTTCATTCAGTGCAGGGTTCCACTGCAAATGGACTTGGGTTGGTTTTCAAATGAAAGAAGACTAACCTCAGCCTTGTAATCAATGTCATCCATTGATCTGAAGAAATCCAGGCTCTTTGCTCCTGAGAGTTTTCCTTGATCTGAACTGTGTGTGCTCAGCGTGTCCAGAATCTCTCCAAGCAAGTCCATTTCTCCTTGATGCTGAGTTATTCCAGTTTCACCAGAACCATCACTATCATAAAAGTAAGCAGAAGCTTCTTCACTGTCTTCTGATGATAACCTGAAAACAAAACTTTTCCATCAGATAGGAACATAAAAGCCATTTTATTATAGCCACTTCTGAAAGGACATAGGGGAATCCATTTCAAGAGCTCTGAATGGGAACATCAACCTGGAATATCTTGCTACTCAATAATTTTCCTGAGCACAGATATATGGCATTGATGGAGATGCAGTTACCGTCAGCTGCCTCCTGGCCTAGCCAAACATTTTGTTCTGGTGGCCAGACTGCTACTGCAACTCTTCCTCCATCACATAGGCAGATTTACTGAAGTACTGCCTATCTGCAAGGACAACTGGTGCTTTTGTCTCTTATTTCCTTTCTTGTTCATTGCAATATCTTTACCTCAGACCCCTATTCTACCATGGTCTTTTTCTACCTCTGTCTATCAGTACTGCTACAAAGGCAGTTTTCCATGGCCCACTGTTTTCATTGTATCCTTTTAACATTTCACTAGCTTCATCTTCCCTATATCACAGCTTAAACTGATTGATTTTGCTTTCAATGTCCTTTCTGGGTTTATATCCAGATGTTCATTATCAACAATCAACTCCTCAATTCAGAAAATGCCTCAATCCAGCTTAAGCCTCAACTTACACTTTTCCTTTAGTTCTCATATAGGAAGACCTCAATAAAAAATCCCCAAGACATTATATGTCTTTCAGACACTTCAAAAATGTCCTATTATCATGGCCACCACACAAGCCTTAAAGAATTGACTGGCTGAGGTCACTCCCCACCACGTTGATGAATATTTTGCTCTTTCTTTGTGTATGTAGTCTTTTTATCTGGAGACTGTGAAGACTGAGGATTATGTCAAGCCCTTCTAGACACTATAAATAATGAAAAGATATAATGGCCTGTCCCTCTTTTTAAAGCAGATTTAAATCCTAAACTACTTGACATCATCTAGATCAAGAATTGAGCTAGCAGCCTGGACAGGAGAAAAATGTGTCACTTGAATTCTACTTTGCTGAATAACACTTGTTACCCTCTCTCCTATACATACATAACCCATCCAGACAGGCTCCTTACTTGCTTGTTCTCTCAATTTCATCATCTTCATCTTCATCCAAGGCATCATCCTGGTTACTGAGGCGCTGGTTGAAACGAGTCTAGAGAAAGGACAATTAACATTATAATTTTGTTTATTTTTTCTATTTCAGCATTACTTCTTTGGAGACCAGCTGCCACTTTACTCATTAGGGCTTCTGAGCACTTGCTGAGAAAAACCACATATTGATCAAGGCTTGTAAAGGCTGCTCCAAGTCCTCAAGCACCACCAATTAAAGAGAACCATTTTCTTCATGGCCTATGGAGGGCCTCCTTATTTATGCAAAGCCTGGTGTGCCTTATTATTTATGCAAAGCATTGATTAGCAGAAGACTGGATATTGGAGGAAAAGCATCACTCAAGTCTACCAGCTACCCTTTCTTGAAAGCACATCACAAAAAGCACTGTGGTTTAGTACTTTCTGGTAGAAATATTTACCAAGCTTTGGTCTATTGAGCATGAAGAAAAATTGACTTTTGAAGCAGAAAATACAAAGAAAGTTGGGAGTCTCTTTATGAAGCTACATTTATGTAACGGTGCTGTACAGGATTGCAGAGTAAATAATATCCAGTTCAGGAACTTAGCACTGGGAATGCCTTTGTGCAGGATAATTTACTGTGGATTACTATTAATTCCAACCCAGTGTACACTTAGAGCACCCCAAGAGGACTTTGCATGGTGGAGTTGGTGTGCTGTAAATTCACACATTTCTGTACAGAATACTCACCTATTACATCACATTATTATTCAGCAAACAAAAATAGTCTAAAAATTCCACAATGATTGGAAAAAAGTCTCTATCCTGACCAGAACATTTAAATCAGGAATTTTAATCACTTGTACTTCGCAAATGACTATCTTCAGGACTATACAACTCTCATACTGGTTTTGTATCAAAAACTTTTTGTATAGGAAGCTTAACTATACTGGTCATCAATGCACTGAAGATATTGTGAACCCTGGATAACCACTAATAATTTAAAGACACATGGATGGAATTTGTACAGAGGAAAAACAGCATAAGCTAACGTTGAGGAAAATCATAAGCAAGTAAGAAGTGCTACTGCCCACATCTTATCATGCAGTTCACCAAATGCCTAAACCTGCAACCAGTCCCTGATGGGGAAGAAATATGGCCTTAATTTCAGACTACAGGAGCTTGAAAATCTCATACTGTGAGGATTTCAGTATGTTACCTATTACAGATGTTGTCAGTGTTCTACAAATACCAGGACGCTCTCTGTAACTCCCCCCACCTCCCCATTATTTACAGGAATGTCTCAGTATTCACTCTTTAGAGACTGAGACATTTTTTCTGTTGAACAAGAGAGAATTTAATTAAAGCAGCAAGTTTTGATAACACTTTCCACAGCTCTTTGCCCTCAAAGAGGAAACATATGGTTCTTTATGTGTTAAACCGAGTTAATAGTTGATGGAAAATGAGAGAATTATTAGAGTATTACAACCCGTCAAACAACCCTAACTGAGATTCGTTCTGAGCAAAAGGGACAGGATAGAATGCAGAGAAACAAACTATTTCTAACTTCTTCATATTTTTGTGAGTTCATAGTGCTGTTCCCACCACTGTTGCAAACAATCATTCTCCTGTTGTAAGTAGAGGGAAGTAAATCCCTCTGTTAACTGATACTGGTGATTGGTTATCTTACTGATCCCTGTCACAAGCACAGTCACTGGTTGTGGTTTAAAAGTTGAAGCTTTAAGTACTTATCTTCACTGGGAAAATTTAAATACTTTGATTTGGTAACACTAGGAATTTTGGTAACACAGAATTTTCCCCAAGAAAATTCTGACATGACATTCATTGTAATTCAAGCTCTAACCTGGAACTGGCTCCTGGAAGGCAAAATCCTGTCTGCCCCTCTCACTTTCTTTTGAATTTGCATCAAAATTAGATGTTGCCATCACATTTACTCCTACTAACATAAATATGAGATTTTGCAGGGAAGAAGATTTTTTAAAATGTTGAGAAGGTGCAGAAAACAAAATGGAAACTGACACTTATTCATCTGTAGAGGAATTAACTCTACCAATGGAATAAAATTCTGCAAGGTAACACTTGTTGATTTGGTGAAATGATAAATAATATTTCAAAGAGGACAGATATCAAGTTTCAAGAAAAAAAGGGGGAAAAAGGAAGAAAAGTTGTGTCTTTGACAAACAGGAGCTGAATAAAATTAAGCAGAATCAGCAGACAACACAGGCATTGCAGTGGCCCCTCAGAACATCTATGAACAGTAATATGCAAGTGTGTTCGTGAAAGCACAAATAATCATATAAAGGAATGTAACAGACAAGTTGATAAATCTAAAACCTCCCTCCAAAAGAAGAAATCTTAGCTCCTGATGGTCAAACTCTTTGAAAAAAACATTTTTGTTACCAATTTAAATGATATGGGATATATTATAAAATTATACAGGGAAACTTTCAACAACTAAACCAAATAAAATGGGATTTACATACAAAGAAAAAGATATGGGGGAAGGGAAAGAAAGGAAAGTATCTGGCTGTAAATAACAACCTTCTCCAGCATTTACAGCTCTGTGAGCTAACCACAGAGACAACAAGCAACACATGTTTTTGAATAGGTGACTTTCCTTTAGGAGCTGTAATAAAAACGACTGCAAGGGAGGGGTATGTCCAGACTACTTTGCAAAGAAAGAAAAAGAAAGAAAGAAACCCTTAATAAATTTCAAAAGGAGAGCCATAAAACTTTTTCAATGCTCCACTAGGCAAAGTGACAGAGTATGTGCACCTGCAAAAGCTGTCAGAGTCATTTAAGAAGTCCTTCCATTACTGACGTACCCTGCTGTTTGCAGTTATTTAAGCTTTTAATTTCTGTCTTTTCTGCATTTTGAAGTGTGTAACCTTTTTTATACCCCTTTATGAAAAAAGGACAGACTTCTGCTTCCTTCCTGATTAGCATTCTAATAACAACCAGACCATTTAAATTTATTACCACCAGAAATGATATGGCAACAGTCCTTTCTTGCAGCACCAGAACTTTATAAAGTCTTAATAGACTGCTGTCATGTTTATTTCTATAAAATAAAGGAACAAGCTTCTTTAAAGTACCTGGTTGCTTTGCTACTTCCAAACAGTTCTGCTTAGATATTAAATATTTTTTAATAAATTACTTAATGTATTTACCTTATATATAACAAGAACAGGGATTCAGCTTTTGCTGTTTCAAATTTCTCACATTATCCTGCACATGGCCTCTCTCATCTCTCATTTTGCTTGGAATGTAAGAGCTGAGCACCCTTAAATACAAGCTCATGTTCTCCACAAGCTGGTGTGAGGCTATATATCCTTTTTTTATTCACCATATCCATCCTCTCTGGTTGCTGCCCTGCTTCAAAATCTCCTTCTGCAAGTAGTCTGTAGCTTATACAGACCTGACCCAATGCTGATCACTGAACTAAGGAAAAGGAGCTGACAGTATAAATACAGTAGAACCAAATAAAGGGAGAGTCAGTCCTTAAACTGTTCTCTTTTTCTTGCTGGTAGCCTCACAAAATGTACTACTTTGGAATAAAAATGCCAAAACACATGAATGCTAAAGGATTTAAATGTAAGATGGTTATATTCTTGATATTGGGCATGAAAGTCGATCTTTGAAATGTCAGCTTTTTATATAATGCTAGACCTTTCAGATGTCCAGCTTTTGGTAATGAGTCTGTATTGATTGATACTAAGACAGGAAGTTTAACAAGGCTGCTGCTATTAATTACACTCAAAGTGAAAAACAAATAATCTTTTGATAAATGGCAGCACAAATATAATTTCACATTTACTGGCTACTCAATACATCAACACATATAAAGTTTCAAAAAAAGAAAAATATTGTTTAAATCTGTGAAGTACTGCTTCCTTTTTCTTAAAAATTTAAAGAAAGATTATTCATTCCGCATGAGAAAAAAAATAAATACAACACCACTGTTATTAATGATTCAGTATTTTATTTTACCCATCCTCCTCTACAACCAAATCACAGACATAATTATGGCTCCATCCAGCAGGGAAGCAAAAGATCTTTCAATCAGACTTTCCAGTAAAGCACACCTTGTCACGTTCCTTTCTGGTTAAACACTGTGACCTAAAGCCATGACTCACAGGAAGGTATTCCTCATTACACTCCCCCCGAGCTGAGACTGATGAAAGAAGAGGGAAAGCAGAGACAGAAAAGAAGTACAGATTCTAATCAAGAATGCTCTGATATCAGAAAACTGTCCTGGATATAAATTAAATAGATACTACCAGAAACATGGGTATGGGCACAGTGCTTCGAAATGCCAAGTACACTCTAATGCCACAGAGATCTCCAGTGACTATTGTACAGTTATAGGAAACCCTAATACCTCTGCTGAGGTAGGATTTATTTTAAGCACAGATGATAAATTTGTTGAGATACTTAGTCACAGATAGCACATGTAACTACTTTGGTTCTGAATTACTGTGGTGAAAAATGAACAAGCTCTCAGCTCCCTACCATTTATGCACGCTAGACTCCTGAATCCAGGTATCATTTCAGAATTGTGTAATGCTTCTCTTCCTTTTTAACAATTAATCATGCTTCCACAAATATTTTTTCAGAATAGTTCTGTTTTGCTCCAAAACAACAAGCAACCTTCCACTTTCCCTGTGGAATTGCAGCGCCTTTTTATCCTCAGGAAGCCTGAGGCCCCACACTGCCCAGAGTGAGGCACCACCTCCCCACAGCCAAACCCTGCTTTTCTCACTGGCACCGAGGATATTCTTAGCACCCCCTCCCGTTTTCAGCTGATGATGCACCGTGGCACTGTGCCACACACCATTCTGGCTGCAGGGAGTGCACCATCCCTCCACTTTCATTGGCAACACGCACATGTGTTAGTCTTTTCAAATAGGACATGGAGATTTGCAGTGCCATTTGCAACAACTAAAGCCAGCAGCTCATTTTTTTGTGCATGATTTTAAGAATCAGATTCACCAGGCAGAATCTGCAGTTACAAGAATGGAGAAATATAGCACTTATTTTCCCTTTTCTGATGGTGATTAATGT